CATTTCACCACACCTATTGCCACGCTCCTGCTTTGCTGGAGCCTCAGCGGAACCTGTGTTCATGGGGACTCCTGCCCAAAGATGATGCCGCACTAACAAGCACTTTTTTCCCCTGGAACCATCTTTGATCAGAGCGACGTGAAACTGGCTGAACGTAGGCATTTCACACATCATCCAGACAGTTTTCTGGAACAAGTTATGGAACAAATAAGCCTGCAAATGACATGAAGCTTTAGAATTATAAAGAGTCTTTTGGTGGATGATTTGGTTGTAAACAACAGAAATACTGAAGCATGCAGCATCAGAATGGTATGTTAGTAATTTACTTGTTTTTAATGGGAATTAAAATAAATACCAGATTGGTCACTTCCCCCAGCTACTGCAACACCAGAACACATGTCTGATGTATGGAATGCTTTAGGGTTGATCACACAAAGGTTTGTTGTTGCTCCATGATGGGGCATTTTTTACCCCCCAGGTACGAACTGCCTGGGATCCATGGCCTGAACTTTCTCCTGCGGAGCTCTTTGGGTGGGGGAGGGGTGGCCTCCCTCCGCAGTGACCCTCAGGTGAGACTCACCGGGTGGCCCCTTAGCGCCCCCTACAGGTTTACAAGCCAGGCAGACCCGGATCAGATGAAAGGGCTCCCTGTTTCTTGACTGAACTGACTGTGTAAATATCTTACTGAAGTGACACACCCCCTTCCGGGCCCCTAGTAAAATATCCGAGGATATCAGCTCACATGGAGCACTAACAGGTTACAGCACAATGCTGGAAACGATGGGGATCTGGACCGTAACCCGGTTGACCATAAGCCAGTTGACGTAAGTTGGTTGACCATAAGCCAATTGACCGTAAGCTGGTTGACCGTAAGTCGGTTGACCGTAAGCCAATTGACCATAAGCCGGTTGACCGTAAGCCGGTGGACCGTAATCCAGTTGACCGTAATCCAGTTGACCGTAAGTCGGTTGACCGTAAGTCGGTTGACCGTAAGTCGGTTGACCATGTCGGTTGACCGTAAGCCGGATGACCGTAAGTTGGTTGACCATAAGTCGGTTGACCATAACCCCTTCCTCCCCCCCCCCCCCGTGTCTTACAGGGCAAAGCCTATGGTCAGATGCTGCTGGATTATGAAATTAAGGGACTGCCGGACCTGAAGTCTCTTGTGGATTGACCGGAACCGCTTGCAGACGAGTGACAAGGTGCTGACGTGTCTCCACGGTGCATTGCATTCCGGGCGGCGTCCAGCTGTCACACACAACCCCGGCTGCTGTTAGCGGGAATCTAGCTGCGCACGTCACTCTTCACGGAGGCCGCATGTGACCCACGGACAGGAGAAGTCGTGCTGCCATATAACTGAATTTACATTAAGTTTATGTAGCTGATTTCTGCACATACATTGCGACTAATTTAACAGTTTTCATTATCAGATGCCCTTTTATAAATGCAATAAAATTACAAAAGTATCGCATTACATTTTTTGGATCCATCTTGTTCCATGCATTTTGCGTAATTCCTTTCCAGCCGCTGGGGGAAACGTTTGCCGTCTTTCTTCTGCTTTACCTGCACGGGATCGACTTGCCCTGACCTTGACCGTTGACCTTAAAGGCCCAGGAGTGACATTTCTCCATCATGTTCGTCTGGGAATTGTAATTTTAGAGCCTTGCAAACTAAGGGGCAGCTTTCTCTGCTTTTATATGATTGTTTTCCTTTCAATGAAGCTAAAATTTTGCGAGAAACCTGAGAAGACCCTGAAGGCGTCTTTTTAAAAGATTATTTTCGTCACATGTTGTGTACCGGGCTTGGACCTCTGTTTATCTTAGAAAAGTAAAAGGCGTTGAAAAAACAAAAAGCGATATTTTCACTGCTAGTCTGGACAATGCACATTTCTGTTTGCCTGTGTAGCCATTAGCATCGAACTGTTGACGTCTAGGCTGTGCTCAAGGATTATATGTAAAGGGAGGTGGGTGAAAACTCGCTACAGACTGGACAAGTCAAACAGGGCAGTGGCGCAGAAGGATGTGAGAATTATTGCTGTGTAAAATCTTTGTGTAGTAAATACAACTAAGTGTATTTCTAACTGGCCGAAACAGAGAATCTAATGGCTCAATAAGGTTTTTCTAAATAAAAAATATGCAATGACTGTTCAGTGGCTTCGTCTCTTAGATACACACACAGCTCATTGCTATTATATTTATGTGGGCGAAGGACTGAGTGTGTGGATTGTGGCGCTGGGATTGAGAATTGTGAGTCTGATGTCCACAACAGTTGAAGGATGAAGTCTGTCTGATGTAGCCCCTGTTGATCAGCCATATTGCGGCTGTTCTCATCACTTTCGGCGCGATTCGGTGGAGGAGGAAGCGAGCTGCTTTCTACCAGCGTGACCGAGGTCAAGGAACGATGTCAGTGGGCTTGGAATCGCAAATCCCAGTCTGTCCTCTCCATCACCTCCCCGGCATTAAAAATCTGCCGCAGCATTCTTGGAGGGAAGACGTCGCCACCTTGCTGTAAAAGCGCAGACAAAGGGCTTTTCCCTGGGAGCCGCTCACGGGGGTTTATTGAGTCCTATTTCCAGCGCCTGCTTTCCGCAAACATTACCATAAAGCCTTGAAGTGCTGCGTCCGCCTCCTGTCAGGCTCTGCGAATGCCATTTACACAGGAAGTAAACGAGCAAAAGGCTGGAGTACCGCTGAACGTGAGGAGGTGCGGCAGCGCCGCTGGGGGCCTGAGGGAGGCAGAAGGCGGCCGCATTCACCCTCAGAGCGAAACCAAAGTGCTGAACTTATTGCTAGATCACCGGAACACTGTGAAGAGAAAAATTCTTCAACGGAAGTCTAGTGATGTTAGATTCTAAATCAGAGTTTTGCTTGTTGTTGGAATCAACTTTAAAAAGCAGGAATACTTGTAATTTTGGTGTTAGCGTCTGAAAAAAACTATGGGCAGTTTGAGGTTTGGCTTTTCGGGTAGTGGTCTGCAAAACACCATGTGGTCTGTGACACCATGGAAGCAAAAAAAAAAACCACTATTAGAATTATTTTAGGAAACACCCGCAGGCATGGGAATGGGATCTTGTCTGTCTATGTGACGCGTAAAGGTGAAGATCATACAGCAACGTTGTCTTCTGAACAAAGAGGAGCTGCAGGTCATCAGTCATCTTGGTGACGGCTTCCAGCGTGTGGGGCCTTGCACAGGTCAGGGGGGAACCCCCCCCGGGCTGCCAGAGAGCAGTAACCCCATGCTGGGGGCCATTGTTCCCCGGACTGGGCTGGCCTCCCCCTGTCATCACCCGTGCTCTATTCACATGTACCAAGGAGGATGACAGAGAAATATGGGATCGGTTTCACTAATCTGCTAATCCCCTTCTCCTCCACACACACTGAAGCTTTTAGATGATGACAGCTGAGTTGCAAGTTAACGACGACTTAATGACACAGCATGAAAAGCAGCCAGTGTTTACACTCCATACACCAAATACATCAAGGTGTATTTTTCTTTAAATCTCATAAACCAGTTTCGACTGGTTCCATTATGGATTCCAGGTTTAAATGGAAATGTTTCTTTTCCTCGTTTGTACATCCATTCGAATAGTATCTTATCTGTTGAGTTTTATGTATCTCTCATAATGTAAACGCACTTATTGTTTTAGAGATGTCCATCTACGCTGCAGGATTTTTTGTTTGCCTGTTTGTACAAAGTTGTGAAACAAATTTGTACTTCCTGGGTTTCCGTTCAATTTTTCCTGCCAGGTCCCTTATAATGGGCACGTTGCCTGCAGAGAGTTAATTATTTCCATATTGAAAAGGGGCTTCTCTCCTCTGAAACCGCCTTTAATGAGACCCAACCGACTTGACCTTTCAGTTCATGTCTGCGGCGCGTTTTCAGCCTTAAAAAATCCACTTCACAAATGCTGCGCTATTAACAACAATCAGTTATGCCCACTAAGGCTTATTGATTGATGTAGGTTACGTTAAATGGAATTACTTAAAAATGCATCATGATACAGGGCTGCCAACTCTCACGCATCTGGCATGACACTCAGGCAAGAAATCTTACGATAAATCTCTATTTCTCCATTATAAACCCAAAATGTGTTACTAAAATTAGCGTTGAGTTGGATTGCAAACCTTACAGACTATTTACAAGGTAATTAAACTGTTACATACATGTACATGCGTGTGCAGGTGTGTGCAGACTGTCTCGAAACGAAAATCTGTCCAGCCAGCTGACCGAAGTTTGCCACCCCCACGATACTGAGAACTGCTACACAGAATTGCAATGTGAGGCAACATATAAACATTTACGTACAAAGTTGATTTTTCATGCTTAATATTTGTCTATTATAGTAAAGGAGATTATTTGTAAACGAAAAAAGAATAAAAATGTGTGCTTAGGACTTACGCATCTTAGGACTTAAGCCTTAAGGCAATTATAAAAGCTCTTAATCGCGGCTAGGAGGTTTACCCCGTCGTCCTTCTAAAGAAATAGATGCAGCCAATGGGCTTTCAGGAAACCCTGTGATGTAATCGCGTCCCCTCCGCGCGGACGCCGGAATAAAAGCTTTCAATTAAGTACAACTCGCTTTTATCTGACTCCCAACATGTTAGATCCGCTGACATTTCTACTTGAGAAGGTACTTCTGTTTGCCAGATTGAGTGCTTTTCATAGCATTTCGTCCGGCGATGACGCGCGTACCGCCAGCCGCTGCGAAGGATCTAAGCTCCGCAGAGGGGATCTGCTGGAGGTGCCCCGCACGCTTTTTATCCACTTTGGCATCTACCTTGGGGACAACAAAGTTGCGCATTTAATGCCCGATATTATGCCGCTGATCACAAACGACAAGAGTCAGATCCAGAAGACCGTCACGAATAAGCGGTTACTCTTAGGGGTGCTGGCTAAGAATGCCACCATACGGGTTGACACAGTGGAGGACTTTGCTTATGGCTCGCCTGTTTTATTAAACGCCATGGACGATGCGCTCAAGACGCCGCCGCTGCCTAACGAAGAGGTTGCGCGGCGGGCAGAGAAGCTGGTGGGGGCCATAGCTTACAGTCTGCTGTGGAGCAACTGCGAACATTTCGCTACTTACTGCAGATATGGCGCAGCCTCCAGCTTCCAGACCGAGAAGGTATTACCGGGCTTTACCGCGTTAATGGGTATTTTACAGTCCGAATGTCTAATCTCTGAACATTTCCGAAAGATGAAAATAATTTATCTTAAGTTCTTTTTTTTATTAAGGTAAACTGTATATGCCTATAATTCAAAATGTTACATACATTAATTACATTATCTTATATACTGGAACGGTAAAGACGAATTGTTCACTAGACGGTTTAATTAGGTTTTAAACGCTTCTTAAACCCGATGTCCTCTTTTTTTATTCTTCATCTTAGGAAATTCTGAAAAGATCAAGTCTGATCACTGGGACTTTGGAGTAAATGTGTTTCTCTGCCGTGAGCTCTTTGTCTAAATTAATCACACTGGCACCCTCGGGGAGGGGGGGGGGCGTATTTGATTCATTTTTATAGATTTCTCTAATGGGTTCTTTGTGGGCGTGTTTATCATTACAAGTCTGATATTCGTGCTTTGTTTTAAATACATGAAAGATCTCTACTTTGCCCCCAAACCAGAAACCCTGTATCATAATTATGGGGGTGTCCCAGACCACCAGCAGGAAACATGTCTTTTGACCGCATTAAATCCCCAACAATCGAATCGTTCTCCTTCAAGCATAATGAGTATGGAAGTTATAGCACCATGGCTTAAGTTTAGACAAAGAAGTTCTTCTGGGAAATGTTTACCTGAACTTATGAGGCACCATTTGCTTCATATTGTTTGGATTGTGCCAAACAAGTGTATTCAGCTAATGTATCCAGGTTTGGTAATTGTGCTCCTTAATTTTTTTTTAGCATAATAAGAATATGCTACACAATACATATACAGCATGCTTCTGCAGGGCCAGAATCTTCAAACGCACTTACCAAACCTGGTAGTTATCTGATCGCGGCATGTTTGAGCAGGGGAACCTGCAGACTGTTGTGTTCTGCCACCCCAGGACCGGAACTTGGGATTCCAAACATAGTGTATCTCTTTCTTTGTGCCGTCCGTGGTACTGATGCTGCGCCTCGATTTCCTTTTGCAATGTGATATTTGTTACGAATTGAGTTGTGTATTATATTCTGTTATATTTGTAATATGAATGCTCATAGTTGATTTCCTGGTGCACATGCATGTCTGACAGAGATCCACGTTCGGCGTGCGTGAGGGCACGCTGATGTAGTCATTCCCTGTTTGATTATGATTATGAAATAATTACCTACAATGATCTAAAAAGTTTTTAAACATATTATTGAATAGCAATATATATTCATATAAGGCCATTCAAACCTGAGAACAAATATTGCATTTGCTGTTTTTCTAATCCTGCCATTCGCCTACAGTTCTGTGAAAGTCTGAAGTCTGTAATACGGGACCAAAGAAGCATCTTCCTGTCCGCTCTCGTCGGAGTGATGTCCATTATCTACCTGGGCATTGCTCCTTCCACAACGTTACCCACAATCCTCGTGCCATTCCTCCTTTGGATGGCAGGCTGATGGACAGCAGTCACATGGCAGAATCACTTTTGCCATGAAAATGTATATGTGTAACATAAAGGCTGGCTTGCGAGTTTAGTATATGCTTCAAGCTTTCATGAATGTTTTATACACATTTAAGCTTACTATGTAAGTCCAAATGGTCTGGCTGTTACCAATGTTAATCTGAAATAATCATTTATCGGAAATAAATTAGGTACTGCACATAAGACATCTGTATCTTCTCTGTTACACTCCAAGAGTATTGACATAGAAATGAATCATTTTTATACAATTGTGACAATTTGTGTTTACAATAGATTTTTGTAGCACAACTGTTTCAATGTGTAATGTATCTATATCTATATGTCTTCTTAAATTTTAATTATCGAAGACTTTGAATTAAATATTTACTGGGGAAAAAACTATAGCTTGTACTGATGTATGCTCGCTTCTATGCTACACAATAATTCAGCACTGCAACAGTCATAGTTTATTATTTGACTTTTAAAAATCATTTGTTTTAAATGTCAACCACAGATACATTTCAAAATTACTTGTGTCTGGCTTCATT